CCATCTGTGGTGAATTCAAACTCAGCACCAAATGGAAGATATGAAAGACAGCTCTGTGACAGAATCTATGATTAATTTTTCTTTACAGTAATCTACACTAGTGTACTTAGACAAGTACAGCCRTAATGGTTTAAAAGTTTTCACTGTATATACATTTCTTGGGGAGATAAGAGAGTTCTCTAAGCTGCAAGCTAAAATGTCTGTTCATAACAGCTCTAATGTCTTTTTTTTTCTCCACTATATTGCATGTAAAAGATATTCCATGGTTACCAGAGCTATGTGGTTTCTCTGAAAGTACATAAGAGGTACTAAGTGATATGAGAACAACAGCCTCACTTGATTGCTTATTCTGTCTACCAGCACCTCTTGTTGGCTCCAGAAAAATATCCTAAGATGCTGCTACCCAGCCTGCGCCCATAGCCTCTTAGTGCAGTGCCTGTCAGAAATCATTAGCTACTGATCTCTTTGACTAATGTTGCAGCTGATTGTCTGATTTATGGTCAAGCTCTGTAAATGAGACAGAAGCATCTTCACTACTCACCAGCTGTGGAGTGAGTAAACACAGATTTTCAGAAATCAAAATAAATATATTTCTAATAAAGTTTGATGACAGTATCAAGTGCAAAGCTGAGAGCAAAACTATGTTTTTGTGGATTTTAAAGTTACAGTACTCTAAATCAGCATCAGTCTGTCCCATTTTTGGCAGAGTAATCTATTTTAGCAAAATGATAAAATATGGGTATAGCATAAATCTTCTGCTGACTTGGACAAACATTATTTATTCATCATAAATTCATACCATAGATTTTTATGCTTTTGTCCATTATCCCCATATGTTCATTTAAAGGGTTAGCATAGACTACTTTCTTTTGTTTGTGTGCTCAGTATCTGCCAATGAGCTGTATATGTTTAAAAGGAATACAGAGCTGATAACAATAAAAAAAAATAAACAAAATGTGAGTTTGGGGCTGGTAGAAGAGGTCAGTGTATGTGTTTTCTATATATGAGATAAACCCAGGAGGACTGGAGTGGCATAATACTTAGATAACTGAGAAGCAAATTTAGGACTGAGATCGGACCAGTATTTTTCTTGGCAAAGAAGGTAAACATGACATTCACCCCCACCTAGAGAATTATTCACAGAGCTGTGCACCAAATATGCTCTGGTTTGAGGATTTAGGCATTTGTAGTCATTTGCTATATTTTTCACACTTCAACAAATTGTAGCCACAACAGACTTGCAAGGACAGGGAGAGATATAACAAGTTTTGTAAACAAGTGTGGTGGTGTGGTGTTCCCGCAATAGCTATTCTTCTTCCAGATGCACCTGCATCCAGCTTGTAAAAAAAAAAAAAAAAAAAAAAAGTAATCTTTACAATGTATTTTAAAGTTTTGTATTTCCATTCCAGAACAATAAAAAAACTTCCACTTCTTTTCCTCTACACCAAAGCAAAAATGGGTATTATTCAGAAAAGTTATCTGTGATGTGGAAGACAAAGCTGAAATCTTCACCCCACCATTCTCCCTACAGGAATAAGAACAAGTGATCAAAATCTGCTAATCACTTTACTTGTTTTCTAGCCAGTATTTCTGCTGTGGACCTGCAAAAGTAAGAAGTTTCAGATAGTCAGTGAATTTGGGCATGTAGAGCCAACTAGTAATTTGTAACCCAATTCAGTGCAGCATTTTATATATTTCTTTAATCTCACCACACATTTTGTTTTTGGAGATAGAACTGTATGAACATGATTTTAATTTGTTCAACTGCATGTACGATGATCTTTTTCCACTAGTTTCTAGGAATATCAAAATCTGTTTGAGACAATGTGGAAATTTTATAATGGAGCATAGCGTGAACAGGATAAATCTGATATATCCACTTGCTCAGAACTTTGGGTATATAATAAGTTTAAAAAAAAATAACTTTGAACTTTCAGTAACTCTAAAACTCTTAACTCTGTGTTTTTGAAAATGAAATTTAATTAGATTCATATGAATCTGAAACCTGCTCTTTAATGAACATCGCCAGTATGGAATATCTTATGTATTACCATTTGTTAGCTCCTTGCACAATGTTATATAATACTATTTATATTTTTTTCACATGAAAAAGATATTTCACTAAGATCACATTTTAATGCACAATATTTACTGTGAAATGCTGGAGCAGAAATGTGTTCCTCTAATAAGTAGATTTTTGGTCTGTATTCTAAATGCTTTTTTCCAGTCYTTTGTTTGTATTATGACATCTGACCACAAATGCAGAAGAAACTGCACGTTCACTGTGCATGTTTGTGTAGGAGCCATCACCATTAATTATGGACGTTTCACCTCTTTACTGTGTATCCCTATACTCTGCATATATTGCTCCAAAAATATGCTGAAGACCTGTTTCTGATCTGTASTTCTATGTAAAGAGAGAGCAACTTCCATGAGCGCATGCAAATTCATTTGATCTGACCAGAATGGGTGCTCCTGATACTTCGGCACTTGTCAGACGTCATACAGATCCCTGGCCCAGCCATGCCCACCCAGGTAGTGCTCTCTCACACGTGGCTTTTCTTATATGGTGTTCACAGGAACCCAGAAAGATAGGTCGGTTTTTAATATCTCATGGAAATAAGTTGTTTTCATCTCTATTTGTTGTCGTCAGGCTGCTTACAGATTCTGGCAGAGATCACTGCATCAATTTCGCTTGATTTGCAGACACGAAAGCTATATAATTTTTCATTTTAAGTGGAATGTACATTGTGCTATAGTTGCAAGAAATGGGTTGATTGCTGTAGTACTGACATGCTAAAGCAGCTTTTTGCCTATGCTACCTCTGCCTGTTTTGCCATGCTGAATGCTGAAGGTGAGGAGTAGGTGAGGAGACCCGTTTCCTCCCACATAAAGAGATACCAGGCAATTGTAGCATGTACATAGCATGTACACGGCTCCTTTCTGTCACAAACGTGCCCCTTTCACATGGCGCCTGAAAGCCAAGATGCAAACATGAAGACATATCTTTAATTTTAATTTATCAAGCTTTTCATCTTTTCATATTTGTGATTTTAATTATTTTTGGTTCACTGTTGCTTAGGATAGAGCACCTGGTTTGTGTAGAGCAGCAGTAAGATGGGACCAAAATGGGTGCTGTTGACCAAGATGGATGAGTGGCTGTAGCAGAGGTGTAGGGACCAACACGTCAGTTTTTCTGACTTTGGCTTTTCCACAGTTTTCATCTGTAAGTTTTAGGCTTTGTGAGGAAAACTACAGCARCTCAAGCCTTAGGCATCCAAGTAACTGTTCTGTGCTGGATGGTAGCCACTGGAGGCCTTGTTTCCTAATTTAATATTGCAGAGGCTGATTTAAAGTAGGAATGATTTTCAATCTGGTGCATACAGTTTTCAGAACCTTTTGATGCTGTCATGGCAGGCTTTCTAATAAGGGCACAAATACTACGGAAAGCACTGTAGGTGGCTGAGAGAAAAGCAAGAACTGAATGGAAAACCAGGAAATGCCTCCTGTGTGTAGCTGTTACCAACCCGGGATATTAGAAGGACATACTGCAGGCCTTGACAACTTTGCATAGGCGTTCAGTTTAGGGAGAGGTCTGAACTGATGTGACAAGTTCTTAACAGTAGTGTCTGCATTCTCTTTTTGTCATATCACATGCATCGATAACTCAATTGCCAATGACCTTCAAGTATAGGATTCAATAGTGATGTACATGAAAACAAAGTTCCGTCAAGGAAATACTTGTGAGAAGGTAAACACTGCTCTGTGTACAGTAACCACTTGCTTTTGTGCTTGCAGAGATAAAATAACTCAAAAATAAGAGCATTGTCCAGAGATGCTCATGTGTGCAGTAAGACTCTCYGAAGCTGAGAAATCTGAGTCACATTGAACACAATGAACACATTTCATAGTAGAAATGGTGTATCAGTAGCATTAGCACACACAGGCTGCCTCCTTTAGAACCATGTGGTCACTTTGCTGGTGATGGGAGATGCAGGCTTCATCTAAAATGCCCTATCCTTTACCTCAGGATAAATAGGCATCCCGTGGCCTGCAGGGTACTGCTGTGTGTCCCTGTGCGTTCCCCATCCCCCTTCAAAGCTAGTAAATGGCATTCAGTACTGCTTTCTTGGAAACGTGCAAAAAGGATTTCCGTAGATAGTCTTTGGAGATTTCCTGTGTTCTCATGTGTGTAATAGGTTGGGTCAAGCAACAAAGAGGGAGGGAGGAAAGAATAAGATTTAATTTTACATGCGTTCTCTCTTCATTGCCATTGGAAAAAGATGAATGAAAAGGGAAATTGTGCAATACAGGTGATGTCAGTGTTAAATTAAATTAAGATATGTTTTTACACTGCAGTTGTAATTATTCAGTTAAGGAAGAGATCATGATAATAGAGTACATTCCAAACAAGTATTAACAAATTGCTTGTGTTCGTGAATAATTAGTAGTTCATACTAAAACATTATTTACAATATTTTAAGTCAACTGTAGCTTAAATGCATATCCTATAATTTATTTACTTATTTATGCATCCAAATTGTACTAAGAATTTTGATAGTGACCAAAGAAAACAACTTTACAGTATATTTTACTGCATCATACCAAAATACTCTGAATGCAAGGAACAAAATCTTAAGCTATAAATAGATTTTCATAAAATCACATCCATCTTAAGCAATCATTAACAAAATTTAAATTTTGAATCAAGTAGTATCTCTCTGTATTTTTGTGAGCTGCTGAAATATAGGAGTTTTAAATATAGCTTTTTTAATATATTTCTTTTTAATTTGTAATTATTGAGGAGTTTCAAATTATTATAAGAAATGATCAAAAACTTGCTCCTATTTACTACTAATAAAAAATATTTGGAATATTCAAAAGAATATTCAAAATATATTCATATATTAAATATTAATGTATTTGATATGGACACAGAAGTCACAAATCAAAAATGGACATGTTTGATATATAAAGTGTTTTTCTTTTCTGTTTCTCAGATTTTGAATACTTCTGTAGAAATCTTCACAGCCCTGTGTGATTCAGCTGGCCTAGGCAGAGCACATGAAGCAATAACCAAGATTCTGGTGAGGTAGGTTAGCACATCCTTGTCTTGCTGTCAGTGCACATTCATTCAACTGTGAAAGACTGAAATTGTTAGAGGTCTGTCGCTTCCCATTACTTACTGCTTAAATTTTAAGCAGTGCCCTTCTTGCAGTAAGTGACCCTTTCATCCAAAGTTATTTTAAACAGATAGCATTTTTTTAAACTGTATGATCCGGTGTTTTCTTTACCAGTAAGCTATACTATGTTCCTTATGTTGATATATGTATTTTTTTTTAATATGGAAGGGACCTTCCTGAAAAACAGAAATCCAGTCATATTTCCCAGGTTAAATCCAGGTAAAAAGGCAATCTTGAAGACTATAGCTTGCTTCAGTCAGTGCCTTAATGTAACCTTTGTAGAATTCGTCCATAAGAGATGTTTCCATTTATTTTTCTACCTCACTTCTTCTAGGAGTATTTTGTGCCTGTGCAGGTAAATAATTTGGTCAAATAACGTGTTTGTCTTCATTTTCATTTCAGTAGTTGGCATTCCAGGTGAATTACTTTAGTTTCTTAAACAAATTTGTCAGGTGGCTTCTCCCGTTGCCTCTCCTATCATGTAGGAACAATCACAGTTCTCCTTAGCTATCTGATGTATAATTCATTGCTATTCATATCCTGTCCTTTCTAAACAAGCACACAGCATTAAAAGTTCCAAAGCCACAAAAGAGGCTTAGAAGACCAGATCCTGTTTTCAAAATTAAGTGAGGTTTAAAGTCCTAAGAAGGATGTAATTTCTGGGACATCAACTTTTGAAATAACTATTTTTCATAGTTGGCTCCCATGATACCATAACACCCCAGAARTAAGGTACCTGACTCTCAGCAGCATTGATAGATTCCTTGCAGTTATCAAAAAGCTTCACTCTGGATAGGGGGTGACTTAAGATAACCAGAAGGAAACACCTAGAAACAGCATTTCTTAATTGCCTCCCAATGGGATTTAGGCATTCTGAGATGAGATAATACACTTTCCTCTACTCAGAACCTTCTGAAGCCAGGTTTCCAATTCCATGCAAGTGCAAATTCATTTCACAGCTGTAAAGGGATGCATGATTTTTTTTTCTGCATCACATCTGTATTCTACACCATCTAGGATCATTCTCTAACTCTTTGAGGTCAGTCTCCCTGCTTTCACGCTGTTGCCGTCTGAAAACGAAGAAAAGCAAGAGATGGGACTCTCTGGTATGTAAGGGACTCTTTAGTTTAGTATATAATGCATTCTCCAGGAGGTGGGCATTCTAATTGATTCAAGTGAATGAGAGTCTCTCACATCCTAAGTGAGGGTTTTAGTTACTGATCTCTTGCACAGGCAAAGAGACAGCCATCAACTTTTCCTGTGGAAAATGCAGATTGTGAAATCAGTCTGTTTGTTATCTGTAGGTATGTCTATCATGCATCAGGTAGTTAGGCCCTTAGAACATGAAGCAAATGAAATACTTTATGTATTTGTCTGCTTTGAAGTACTTTGAGATGCACATAAACTGCTCGATCCTTTAAAACATCAAGTGATTTGGGTCATGTTTCAACCATTTGAGAAACTTTTATGTAGAAAAGCCTATGCACCTAGGAACTTAGGGTGTCTTTATTCTTACATTCAGTTAAGCAAAAAGATCAACATTCATAATTCTGCATTTGTGTTCCAAAACGTTAATGACTGCCTCATGTTTGTGCATGCAAGCCTTATGTCTTCTTGAAGTTTAGTATGATCAAAGGTCATAGATACTTGGGAAACGTTCATCTGTTGTCTTAACAGATCTCTTCTGTAAGGTGGTCTCATGAATGGGGAGGTGCCAGTCTGTAAAATCCATCTATTAATTGTTTTAAGGTAAATTCCAAAATAGCTTTCACTATCCAAGCACCAAAAGCAGCCAAATAGACCTTAAAGTGTCTTTGACATCAGAAAAAAAGCTTAAGATTCATGATAGTCATTTAAAATGCTTCTGAATATGGTCAGTATCTCACCATACACGTCCTTGGAATTTTATGGGATGCATTCATGGTTCCTGATTAAGCTGTCCAATGTCATAGTGAGGCCACTCTCAGTTACTCTCAACAAGTCATGGCAAGGGAAGATTCCTGAGGACTGGAAAGAAGCGAATGTATCTCCAGTATTCAACAAGGAGTATCTGGGGAAATACAGGCCAAGCAACCTCACGTGATGTCCTGGGAAGGTGATAGAACAAATAAATATAGAAGAAATTTCCAAATATTAAGAACTAGAAGGTGATTGGAATTGCTCAGAAGGGATTTTTAAAAGCGAAGTCCTGCTTCACCAACGTGGTAGCCTTCTGCAGTGCAAAGATGAGCTTGGTGGGTGAGGGCAGAATGGTGAATGATGACTTTAGCAAGGCTTCTCATACTGTCTTTCATAACATCCTCATAGAAAAACTGATGAAGTACAAGCTGGATAAGCACATGGTAAAGGGACCTGAAAACTGGCTGAGCTACCACGCTCAAAGGTTTGTGATCAGCGGCATGAAGTCTAGCTGACGCCAGTCACTGTGTATCCCAGGGACTGATACTCGGGTCAGTTCTGTTTTTATCTTCATTTGTTACTTGAATGATGACTTGAATGACACACTCAGCAAGTTTGCAGGCAATGCAAAATAGGGGGGACTGGTTGATATATCACGTGGTTGTGCTACTGTTCAGATGGACCTTGACAGAGAAATGGGCCAACAGGAATTTCCTGAAATTGAGGAAAGGGAAGCACAAAGTCCTGTATGTGTAGAGGAATAACTGCATGAACTAGAACAAGCTAGAGGATGACCAGATGGAAAGCAGCTTTGCAGAGAAGAACCAGGTGGTCCTGCTGAAGAAGAAATTGACTGTAACCCAGAAATGTTGCCCTTATGGCAGAGGCGAAGAGCTTCCTGCAATGTGTCAGGCAGAGCGATGCCTRCCAGTTGAGGGAGGTGATCTTTCCTCTCAACACAGCCCCGTTAAGACATGTGGAGARCTGGATCTGGGTCTGGGCTGTCCAGCACAAGGCAGACATGGACATACTGGAGTGAGTCCAGCAAAGAGACATGAAGATGATGAACAAACCGGAGCTTTTGCCCTGTGAGGGAAGGCTGAAAGAGCTGGGACTCTTCAACCTGGAGAAGAGAAGGTTCAGGAAATATCTTAGCAGTATGCATAAGCAGACATTTGGAAGGGAATAAAGAAGGAGCCAGACTCTTCCAAATGGTGCCCAGTGAAAGGAAAAGCAGCGATGGGCACAAACTGAAACACAGGAAATTCCATTTTTTTTTTAAATTGTAAAGTTGCCTGAACCCTGGAACAGGTTGCCTAGAGAGATTGTGGAATCTCATCTTTCAAAAGCCATTCAAAACCCCAAGTCCTGCTCTAGGTGGCCTTGTTTGAGCAGGGGTGGCCAGGTGATCTTCAGAGATCGCTTTCAACCTTAGCTACTCTGTGATCTTTGTCTTAAGCAGATAAATTCCTTTCTGCCCTGTAATGCTCCCTAGCAGAAAGCTTTCTGGTACCCTGAACAGGGTCAGCTTTCAGTAACCCTGAAGCTTTCAGTAAAGCCTTCTGTAACCCTGAAATATCTGAGCAGATATTTCAGGCAAACTTACTTTGCRAAGTTTGGTAGCATGTTTTTCTTAAATAAGATTGGGCTGGTCCAGTTTCTTTCCAGGTTCTTCTTCTATATTGAGGGAGGGCATTGAAAAGGTATAGAAAAAAAAGTGAAATGTCTATGTAAAGGGAATGATAGAAAAATATCAACACTGCAAGTTTCTATTTACTCTCATGCCAAACTTGGGGGCGCTTTCCTTGCTGATGTATAGCAAACAAATCCATTCCGTGTCAACCTCATTTAGAAAATACTGGATGAATGCATGAGTGATTACTGTTTGCGACACAGTGTCCAGTCTCAGTTTGATCACTTTTTGTTTATTCAACTAGTGCAAATCATTTTAAATTTGATAGTTGATGCCTTTACAAAAAAAAAAAAAAAAAAWAGATAACTTTGATCCCTGGTTACTAAAATAACATACTATAACCCTAATGTCTTGCGAATCTGTACTGATTGCCTTGTAAGATGTTTGAGGAAATGATTGAACCCTTATATGGTGTTTCGGAACTTGTCTCTAGATTTGCAATTTTTTGTTAAGTCTTTGTTTCCACAGATCATGGGAAGTGGTCCTGAAATCCTTATCATATGCATTTAGGCCTGTCACTTTCTAGGGAAAAATCTGACATGAAAGCATCATGTTCTTGACATATTCTGCCAGTGTCCACCATGTCAATGATTTCTTGTGGACATGTGATTTATATATCCAAATCAATCACATATGCAAACCTATAAAAAGTGCATATTTTCATAAAAGTCTAATAAGGATAAGAACTCATTCTAGCCTGAATGTGGAAAATGAACTGCTTTAGATATAAAATCTCTTCTGCTGAAGCTATCATAACTGTTCTGTGGGATCGTGCATGACTACATCTTTAGGAAATTTCATTTTACATACCCAGGAAGATGATATCTAAGGAGATAGAAAGTGCATAGCTATATAAAATAACATGTAGGTTTTGAAAGAATTATAAAACACTAGTGCTTTGAGTAGGAAAGGCCTGCTTTTCAGGTATCAGGACTTATGTAGGATAAAGTGTCCTAGTAATCTATGTAGCATACTTTAAATATATAAAGCGGTAGTGCTTTCTAGTATTTCTATTGAAAAAATGCAGCAGGTTGCTAGTTGGCATAAGTGAAGTTCTAACACTGACAATTATCTTTCTGATACATATCAAATTGATATGTATATGATATTTCTTTTTGCTTGGAAGACATTATATGCCCTATCAATTTTCATATTTTCTATAAGCTTTTTATGTAAAATATAAAAAATGGCCCAAATACATCAAAACATTTCTATTAATTCATGAAATTAGGAAAACCTTTTACATTTTTTTCTATCACTGATTCCATTTGCTATATTACTTTCAGCCTSTAGCCCACAAACTTGGTGGCACAATCAACAAACCCCTTAGTGGCTGTTTCATCTCTCCTCTATTTGATTTCTCCACTCTGAGTAAATGATTAAGTTTTCATGCATTGGTTCAACCAAAATCTATGTTCACTCAACCACGTCCTTTATTGATTACTTCTACTGCAAACAGTAGGCCAAGTGTGATATACATAATTGGACAGTTGTCAGGGGATGTGGGTGTTAACGGTCCTGTTTTCCCAATTGGAAACTGGAATCACCTTGATACACAAATATTCTGCACTGTTTCATTCTCATTCCTTGGACCGAGGAGTCCTTTTCCTCAGAATATATGTTTTTAACTCTCTGAGGTCTGGTTGAATGGATTTAATGATTATTCGATATAATATGCTCTTCAAGTTGCACCTGTGCACTGCATATAGAAAACTAGAAAAACTGGAATTAATATTTGTCTAACACTTTAACCTTGTCCCTTAACTTATATAAATCATATGCTGTATTTCTGTGGGGAAACGTTTGATTTTCTCTCCTTAAGAAAAACTAAGTTTAAAAAAATGTGTTTCTAATTCTGAAATTTAGAAGTCTTTTAACAGCTGGCCAATGTTTACAATACAGTACATTCTATGTTCTCATGATATTAAAGTATTTATATTAGGAAATGTTGCTCACTCCAACTCTGCTCATTAACAGCTAAGCTTTAAAGTGACATATACTTGAACATTTAAGATGTGTGGATTTTCCACTGTTTTGGCATCATTTTTGTGGTAATCTAGCCCGCTTCAGTCACATAGGGATAATCACTGCAATATTGTAAATTTGCAGCAATGCTCTACTGTGTTTGCTCTTCTGTGGCAGGGTCCTTGCTGTTATGATTACTCTGATTCCATAACAGAGTTACCACAGCAGACTTAATCCTGCCAAATTTAAAAACATGGAACTCTAATATAGTTACAGTAAGAGCTGTAATTTAAATAAACACATCAATCATTTGCTACAGGAATATAACTTGAAGGTGTTTTAAAATAGCAAGAGAATAAATCACAGTTCTTCGCCACTTACAAACATATTTCTGTGAGTTTCTTAATTAACACTGGATATTCTGTCTTGTTTGGTGGTTTGACATTTAGCATTCTGCTCTCCTACCTTAGAGACTCGAGTTCATGGCTAATATCGAGGTCAGCTGCAGTTACACTTGGAAAAGAGTGTAAAGGAAAAACAGTGTAGGGCCTCACTCACAAGCAAATCCAAATGTGTATCCTATATCTTGCGACCATACTGCAGAGATCTTGTGTTGTTAAAATGACTGGCTTTATTAAAAAAGGGTATGTGCAAATGTTATTGTTGAAGTACATGAGGCAATTTTTAACTTGGATTCGGATGTGACCTGAGGTTGCCCCAATCTCAGTGGGGTTTGGAGGTGGCACCTGCTATCCAGAGTTTATAGGTTTGCCAGTGTGACTGCAGCAACCTTTGATTTGTCCAGCAAAGTGCGGCACTTTATCCAGGAGCAGCCTGGAGTCCTTAAGCTTCCGAGGCAGCACCACTGTGCAGCCCTTGCTGCACCACCCAGATTCTGTAGCAGGAAGTGGCACCTCTACATGATACGTGCAGCCACAGTCTGACTGAGAGCGCAGCATTCTTGCTTCTTTCCCTTCGTTTTCTCAGGAAGTAAAGTCCAGTTGTATTGAGAAAGTTATCAGTTGGTCATTAGGAAAAATGCTAAAATAAGCCAAACTCCTAAAATTCTGTAAATTCATCATCTGCCTTTTCATTTTTTGACCGTAAAATATAGCACAATATTTTGAAGAAGAGTTTTGTTTTATTTCACTCAAAGGATCCAATTCTGCCCTTGGGGATTATGGCTCAGGAATTGAACTATACAGTGGCTTCAGGCAGTGAGCTGAAGAGGGACTGCCTAGACAGCTATATTAGTAGTAGTTCACATTTCATCACAAAACAGATTAGTCATCCTGAAATAAAGCTATATGGAATAAGGTGTTAGATTCTGGGCATTTGGAGAAAATGTCTGAATATTTAATTTTATCCTTTGTCATTTGATTCAGTCAAGGAAAAGTGGCTGAAACTGTTACGCACTTGGAAGAGTTTGTAAAGGTTGCTGAGAATGCTCATTTAAGCCGAAGCCTGGTGGATGCATGCATATTACTCGGGAATCTTTGCAATGAAAGAGTGAGTACTAGCTGCAGTAATAATACCAAACAACTGGGCTTAATTCATGGTAAAAATCTGTGTTTGCATATGTGTGTCTGCTGTGACCCAGCAGAATTTGATATAGGTATCAGATTTTACAAGAGTTACTAAAGGAGAAAATACTCTGTGACTGACATTTCTAAATTAAATACATGAAATATGCCTTAAGTTTTAGGCTAAGGTGAAAATATCACACCAAATTTCATATTTAGGGTGTTTTTCTAGAATGGGTCAAGTGAAAACTCTGAATTCAGGTCATGAAATGTTCAGTGTTGTGAAGTATGTGGATCCAAATCGCAATTTGGGCCATCTGTGCACATAGAGAGTTTAACACAAATAGTTATAGCATATGTTGAAATAAATGCTTTTTTTAGAATGGATGTATACTATACTGCATACTAAATTATGGTTTTTAATTTAATTTGATTTCCTCTCTTCATTCACACARCCAAATTTATAAGTAGATGCTAATAGCTAATCAGTTACATTAAAAGTGATATTTTAAGAATTGGCCTCTTTTAGGTTGTTGTCAGAATATTGTTTCTTCATTTAGAATTTACTAGTATAGTGTAGAGGGGAAGAAATGTGGTGACTTAATCTTAGAAACTAGTATAAAATAGCTCAGTTAAATATATAAAACAATTTCTTTTAAAGAAAAAACAAAAAAGATTTCTCCTGGAAGGTCAACCACATTTACCAAACCTGACTGTACATGAACATGTTCTCACATGGATMGCTGCCTGCTTGGTGTCAGTGTTTGCATTCAGCATTATCTAAGTTAAGCCACTATGAAGGTGTTTCTATTCCACTCTATACTTCCTGCAGTGATACAATTTGCAGTAGTTCTCTCCCTCTTGTCAAGTTATGGATATTTCTATTTATATACTAATGTATCCATAAGGTCCTTTAGTAAACCAGCAGCATGACTTCTCCTGTCTTTTCCAAGGTGACTTTGACCAATTTCCTTCTGCTCTATCGATATCGCTGCTATTTCTTTTCCATTCTGTCACCACACTGTTCATCACCTTCTCTGTCTTTCCTGGGTAGTGCTAAGTTCCCACTTTCTAGTCATTACTGTTTACCCATAGGCTTCTTGCTTCCCAAAATGCCTGTTTTCATTTTGTGCACAGGTATGGTTCTAATTTCTCTCAGTTTGTTAGCTAGGTTCCTTATTTTAATATGCAACTCTGATGGAATTACTATGACAAACTCTGTTAATTCTCATTTCGCTTTTTTGGGTATGTTAGCCTGATTTGCTATGGTCGTCTCACTAATTGCACCAATTCTCTCTTTTTTTTTTCTTTTCCTCTCTCTCTACTAGGGGCACTATAATGAAGCTTTTGAATATTTCAGTCGAGCATTTGAGGCAGCAAACACTTTAAGTAGTTTGCCCTTAGTGGATGAAACCAAGACGTACTACGGCATTGCGAGGGCTCATAAAATGATGGTGGCAGTTAACAGCCATACCGAAGCAGCAGATCTCGTCAGCATGAGGTACCTGCTGGCTTGGAAGGAGAGCAGAAGTGACGTGTGCGCTGACCCTCTTACAGCCGGTGAGGCACTGGTTATGAAACACATTAGTGCTGGGTTGTCCTTAGTGGTTAAGTTGCTTTTCTTGTAGAGTTTTATTCAATTATTTGCTGGGTTTAATCGCATTGGATTAGCCTTGTAGTGAATGCAGGTTACATTTACTTCTTTTTATGCTTATTTTAAAGACTGAATTAAATAGATTTAAATGCAGTACAGCAAGGAGCAAAAGACTGGAGTGGTCTTCACTTGATTGGTGAGTATTTCAGTGCTGTTTTTCAAAACATCACAGTCAGAGGCAAAAAGTGATATATTGGTTTAGTCTAATAATCAGGATTTTAACCTCCTCCCCCCACAAAACATATCTTCATTTGCAGTTGTTTATTCAAGCATAATCTGAAGTATGCTTTCTGTAACAAATTGCTTTCAGTTCTGTTTAAAACAGTAGACGGAGTTCGGAACTCAGAAAAACATTCTGTTTTGTGTTTTGACATCCATATTCCTGACAGATATAATATGATCAGAAGAATTTTTTATACATATATATWTTTTTTTTATTTATATATATTTATATTACAGATATATATATATATATGYATATATAGTAACTTCCTCACTGTGGTTTCCTGTCTTAATTGCAGTGGATGTTTTCTTTCACTGGTAATTTTTTTCCACCCCATTGTAATATATCTTAAAATAAGGCAATCAGAACTGCAAATTTTCCACCCAAAGAGCTGGCAGTCGGGAGGGTTGACAAGTGAAGTAGCCCTKCATTTAGAGTGTTGGTGATGGTAACAGGATAGCTCTTTCTCAGTGCTAGTGCCTTTTGCCTACAGTGAGTTTCTAGAGCTAAATGTGGAGTTTGTTACCTTAATAAGAGATGTTCAAAATGCTGTGATAGTCTCTCCCTTCCTCCCATCCTTTGAGTGTATCTGCCCACTGAGCTTAACTGAGTTTTCTAGAAAATGCTTCCGTGCTTGAAGATCATATTTTGATTTTTGTTTTTTTTGATGAATCACTTTTGAAGGTTAGCCAGTCTCCTTCATGACAGATAAAGCAGTCATGATGCTGAGGGCCACTGTTAAGCAGATGGTTGTATTGCCAGTTTCCTCTCTCTGTTCTGTGACAAAATTGTAGGATCCTCTTTCATCTCAGTCCCAGGTAGTTGATAGTAAGTTGATAGACTTGCATTGCAGGATGTCTGAGATACCAAGGGCTGCAACRGAGAGGCTCAAGGAAGAATCCTCTTTCAATCAGTTCTGTAGCCCTTCATGTGAGGGTCATTCACAGTGTCTGCAATAAGTAGGAGGCCAATGCAATGGCAACACAAAAAAAAATGAGAGCCCTGAAAAGACAGTTAGGGTGACCTTCAACATGCAGGAGAGGAGGGTTTTTCCATTCGACTTCCATGCATTCCACTCTCCAGACATTATAATACTCAGATTTTCTGAAATGATAGGTGTTGCTTTCAGCTTAAGTTTCACACTCCCTTTTAGCAGGGCTTCAGGGATTAAAAGGCTATGATTAGAAAAGCCTGTTGTTCCCTGGCATGCATGGTGCCAGAAATAAGTTTGGGCTGCTTGGACTCTCTTCCTTAAACATCTCTGCCTCATTTACCTTCTGTTACTTTCCGTATTAGTTGTCACTTTAGCTCCCRTTAACTCCAGGAACCCTGTGGCTGCTGCATATTTAGCAGCTCTTCCAGTTCAGCATCATTTTTCGCATTAGTGCTCTAAGCTTACTCTCATGATACCCAGATTACATCCCAGAAAGCCCAGTATCACGCTGTCAKCACTGGCTGTAACATTCTTTGTGTTTTGTGTGCCAAGTCCGTAGTTAGCACTGGCACTACATTTTTAATCTCTGTGTATGGCAAAGCATAGCCTGGCAGCAGTTCAATATTAAGATTCCCTGGCTTTCATTCTCAGGTGAAGCCTTTATCCTGCCTTCTAGCAGAATGTCCGTGTGTCCTGTGATGAACTCATCACTCTGCAAATTCCTGCTGTGATAATAGAATGGTACTTCCAGCTCTTTCCAACAGCTCAACATTGATAATCGGCTCGATTTTTCTCAGCCTTTTTGAGGGTAAAACAGCTAAAGACAAGATTCAATGATGGTTCTTAATCTGCAGGGAAATCTAATGAAAGGAAAAGGGAAGGTACTAAGTTCTTATTTCTAACTGTCCTAACTGGGTAATTTTTCCATGACTTAAAAAGAAAAAAGAGAAAAAGAAAGAAAGAAAAAAGTAGTTTCTGCCTTCTTAAGCAAAAGAGATAACTTGATCAGTTGAAAAACCATGACATTTAAATTCAGGCACTACGAGGTATCTTCTGTCTTTCAACCAAGGCTTATTTTCTAAATCAATCATTTCAATAACCAGACAGGAAGAACCATTAATTACTCAAAATTTATTAATAAAATGGATGTATTGACTACATATGTCATAGACAAAAGGGATAGGTTTATCAGAAAACAGTATTTGTAAATGCAATGGAGAATGTGTTTCTCTCCTTTGTATTTGGCTTGATTTCACTTTTAAGAGTAATTTATGCCTTTGTAAGATGTCAGTGCAAATACAAATAATGTTTTGGGTTGTTTTGGTCGAAATTGTATTTTAAAAAATTGGGAGAGGGGAGGATGACACACAAAATAAGCTTGTGAATCCATGTTAAAGACTAAAAAGGAACCAACTGCATTACTATMATCATCGCCTAATGATAAAATATATATCACCAGTTTTTGAAATAATAGTCTCCTTCATGAAAGGCTAGTAGTAATTAAAGGTGCCGAAATAAGGGGAAAAAATGGATCAAGCACTATTGATGACATGAAATGCTGCCGAGTAACTGCGTTCTGTGCAAGTGTGGCATATTTTGGACTATATAACTGTGTCTGGCAAGCCTGGAATCACCACAGATTCACACCGAGTGGTTAAGGTTGGAAAGACCTTCTAGAGAGGTCTAGACAATTTTAAGAAAAGAGCTAATATGAACGTGTATTGTTTTCTGAACGTTTACCGAAATGATTCAATTGTTTTCTTGAGAAACCCTATACACTTTTGACCAGACAGTAGAATTTGTATTTGTTTCCTCTTTTTTTTTTTTTTTTTGAGTATTAAACTTTGCAAAATTAACATTTTATTGTGGGGTGGGGTTTTTGTGTGGCTTTAAATAAGAGCTACAAGCACAGCATAAGTGATTTTCTTAATTTAGCATCAATTTCAAAGTCTTACATATTATCTTGTACCATTGACTCTTTCATTTTCCAGGATGATCAGGGCTATTTCTAGCATTCCACGCCTGAGCAAGCTTCAATGTGTTTTAAAACATGTGAACAAGCTGAAACTATAGCTTGGAAAATACAATCCAATGAGCTTTAGGTCTTACTCCCAAATGGCTATTCCCTCAACATTCTTTCTTCAGCTCCCTTTTATAGATATATGGAAAGGTGCGTTCCATAGTGAAAATGTGTCCTTTTTGTTATGTAAAAATTCAGATTGTCCTATTACCAATTTACACTTTTAAAAGATTTTTAAGATGTTTTATAGTCATTTTTCTGTACRAGATTTGCTTAAACAAAATTGCCAGTGTGGTGTAGAATAAAGATCTCTCCAGGTGCATTTGAGGTCAAATCGATACGTGACTGTCATTCACAAGTAAAAGGATTATCCCTAAAGAATGTTAATTAGAAGTGAGACAAAGATTACAGAGACAAATTCTAAAAATGCTTCTGTACTGTAAGTTAGTACAGCCCTGTAATTTATGTATCGTTTTGGTAAGTTCAGCTAGTGCACTTGACAAGTACGCCGAGGGACCTGGTGAAGATTGGTTTTGATTGGAGGTGGCAGGAAGGAGGAGAAGGGAGTTTTTAAGTACATCAGCAGTTGTACATTCATCAGGGTAGCATGTTTTTGATTTGAGAACATGTAAAAGATGCACTGGTGAAAATCAACATTGTAGTTTTTGTAGCTTACCCAGGTGTGCATTCTTAAAATGCATGTCCTATCTGGTACCAGTGGACAGGTAGAGGCTTGTGTTAGCAGGTGTCTRCTTCATAATATATTAATGAGCTTCAACTAACTTGTAGAGTATCATTAAAGGTAATGAAGTGTTTATGCTGTGAGTGACAAAGTACTGACTTTGAGCAGACCAAAGTATGGTTTCTTTCCCACCGCTGTGAGGAAGATGGATTCAGAGCTTCCCTTGGCAGTGCTGGGAAGAGGCGGGACTGCGCGCGGCCGGGACCTGCTGGGCCCTCTCTGCCCTCTCCCTGCGCCCGCTGTCCTGGCGCGGCAGCTCCCCATGCCCCAAGGCCAGCCCGTGTGCTCACGGCTCCGGGCCAACAGAGAGTTGCAGAAGTGGAAAGATCATTTAAGCTTTCAAAATAGTAAGTGTGACCAAAAATAATGAGAAGTAGAAAGGATTTTAATGGTATTTTTTCTAGGCTGTACCTTCGATATTAATGCAAACTGCCTAAAGTAAATGTTAAGATAATGTGATGGGCTGATACAGTAGAAAGAAGTATATGGGCAAATTCCACTAGGCAGCAAATAGACRTTAAAAGGTTGTTTCTTCCATTCACTGCTGCAATATACAGAATGCTAATTATAGATGGAAATATATATTAAAGTGCTATTCCCGGATATTTTTAGAAAGTGGTGGTGATTATAGGTGGGACTTCAGAAAGGATTACATGTGGGAAAAAACATTGAGGATGATGAAAAAGTTACTTAGCATATTGTGGCCAAGGATTAGAAGCACCAGTTTCTCAGGAAAGCCTCTGGGACATTTTGCCATGAGCACAGTGGCTCGGTAGCTTGGTCTGTTTTATGCTGATTGCTGAAGTTATCTGAGTTTATCTGAAGTTATCATTAAATAACCAGAAATTGGCACCCATAATCAGATATAGGTCAGGTCTGTGGTTCTAGCTTGGCAGTACCACATTTCAGAAGAGGGCTCAAATTCTATTATTACTASTATTTTTAAGCATGGAATAATGTGTTAGAAATGTCTTCTTACTTTTTGTT